GGTTATTAACTTTAAGATATCTCAAACTATATCAAACAGGAGACTCAAGTTTCCATTGAAGTGCATATATGCTCAGTGCATCTGGCAAAGGAACCGGAAATCCTCAAAATTGTGAAAGAGAGAAAGTGTGAAAGTCCGTCTGGTCGTGTCTATCTAAATGACCAGAGTCTTGAGAAACTATAAAAGAGTAAATCTTAAGATACTATGGAAACTCACACGCACTTAATTTTTTATATAAAAAAGCCTCTTTTTATATAATAAAATCACCAAAAATGTTTTGAGCCTTAATAGTTGATTAGGAGTTTGTCAATTTTATTAAGACAAATTTCTTGAACTACCTGATCTATTAGATCCTAAGGCTAATCTATTAGATGCAGCAAAATAGATTATATAATTGATTATGGAAGTGTCTTAATGAGTGACAACGACACTCTCTCTCTCTCTCTCTCTCTCTCTCTCTCTCTCCAAACACTCCATATTGAGAAAAAATAATCGAACATTTGAAGAACTTAATCAATTAGACTTAGGACCTAGTTAATTAGGTGAATTAGTTTGCCCATGGATCGTTTCCTTTTTAAGCTAATTCTAATATAAAAGAGGCGTCTCTCTTCATTTCACACTAGAATTTGAGATTTCTCTATTTCTTCTCAATTTATCTCTCTCTCTCTCTCTCTCTCTCTCTCTCTCTCTCTCTCTCTCTCTTTCTAAATATTTTCTTTTCACTAAAATTGTCTTAGTGCCTACCAAGTGAAAAATTCTTGTGAGAAAATAGTTGTACTAATATTGTATCATTGTTGTTGTTTTCAAGAGTTTAATATTCTTGAAGAATTGAGTTTGGTTCTTGATATAAACCATTTAAAAATATCTATTTAGTTATAGAGCTCAGCCTGAAAAAGTTTTATTTGATTATTAAAATCATGTAAAATCTCTACTCAGTTCGTGAGTTCATCCTACAGAAAAGCTCACTTTTGGTTGAGGATAAGTCAACGTAAAATCTCTTGATTCACTTGTATCAAAGGTTTGTAGGCATAACCTACACAAGTTCAATATTATAGTGAAATCTCAAAGATCTTTTGGGGCAGAAGTAGGCCAACGTTCAGGCAAACTTGAATAATTTGTTGGTGCCATCTTTCTAACCTTTATCTTTCAATTTTTTCTATTTACTTTACTGTCTTTACTTTCCATCTCTCTAACCTTTATTTTTCAATTTGCTTATTAAATAACAAAAACTCAACTAATCGTGAATTCTGAATTCCAGAATTCACCCCCTCTCTTATGCTTGGAATAACTTGTCTAATAGATATGTCATATGATCAACATTAGATAGTATCAAGAAGTACCACCGTACCACCAACAATAATGATCTCGAACCATCATCACTCTCTGATCTAGAGCCATGTGTAAAGGTCATCTTGCGAAACATTGCAGTCACAAGATGAACATTCAATGTGCATGTTTCCAATACCACCGACTCCCCCTTGAACCATCATCACTCTCTAATCGATCTCGTTTTTCTTATTTTTAATTCTACCATGATACACTCCAAATTTGATCCATCTCTAAATATTGAATCAAATTGATCTAATACACCTTTAAAATCTGACCTAAATAACATTCAACTATTCATTTTATATACACAATTATCATTATTATTATTATTATTAATCCAAATTTAACTATTTACTCCAACTGAACTAGAGCTTTGAATTTACAAGTGATCTTGCTATACTTGGTTATCTTAGCTTTCTATTTTCCGCTTTCCGCTGCAGGACCACTCAAAATAATCACCCCTATAAAATTTCCAGACTTAACTTTATTTCATTTTCTAGAGATGCTGGTTTCCACGTGATTGTAAATTTTACTAATATCCAAGGATAAAATGGTGTAAGATGGTAATCATTCAGAGTTGCACTCTTCCAAACCTCTGTTTGGTGTTCTCATTACTTTGTCCTATAATCATTATTGACTTAATTGGAATTACTATTTTCAGGGGGACATATAAAACAAATATCATCATTTAGGCACAAAGTCATAGTTTGTGTTGTTGCATTAATTAGATTATTTTGCACATGTCTAAAAAATAGAAATGAAAAAAGTTCTAAATTTATTAAATTATTGCTATTAGTTTCATTAGTATATTTTCATTACTATAAATATGAAGAGAAAAATAACAATTTGAGAGAATATAAAATTATACAAAAAAAATGAAAGTGGTACTTTTTTGTGATAATTTTGTGTCCAAATGTGATACTTATTATAAAACATAGAGAATATTAACAAAATTCACAAATTTGTTGTAAATAGTTTTCATTCTTAAAGATTGATATTAAAAAATATTAACGTCTGGACGGACACGGGGCACGGGTCTGTCCGTTTTTTTATACACTTACACATAAAAATATATATAATATTTTTTATTATTTTAATTTTAATTAAAATTATAATTATTTGAATTTGTAGTATGTGTATTTAAATATAGTTTTTGATGAAAAATTAAAATCAACATTTTTTTTTAAATAACTAATTATTTTTACTTGTCTACGATATTCAAAATATATGAATATTTATTAAGAATTTGTAATAAAATAGAATACTTAAGTTAAAGAGTAAATCACATTTATTATAATTTTAAATAGTCATAAATAAAATATCAAATTGATATAAAACTATTAATCATTTTTAAGATATATTAGAAAAACTTAACTCTATTCTTAAGCATGTCATAACTAATTAATTGTTCAAATTGTGGTCTCAATGCATTTTAGTTTGTATAGGTCTATCAGTGGAGTATCTCTATAAAAAGATATTAAATATCTTTATGAAAAGATATTGATCATTCTAGATATTAATTTCATACTTTGTGCTAATTCATAGAATGAAGATCATATTTAGGTGACATATTTTAGGTCGAACGTCTGATGAGGACTAATCTCAAATCACCATATTATGGTGTTTTACAAATATATCGCTATTAATAATAGTATTAAATAAATTTATATGTAAAATATAATTTAATAATAATTATATACAAATAATTTTTTAATTATGTCACAATTTTTCATATAATATTTTTAGAAAGAGTGAAAATATCTTAAAATATTTTTAAACAATCTTATGATTGGAACATTGAGGAGAGTACTATTACTACTTCTAATTCTTAATACAATTTTTTCCCACTTATTAAATACATTAATAAAAAAAAATTTATAGTAAAAATGAGAGAAATTTTGTCTCATTAAATCGTTTAGTTGATAACTATACAGAGACATCAAATATAAAAATATAAATTTGAACATGTGATATCTTATTTTTTTATTTTTAAATATTAAATTCTAATTAATTAATAGACTACTTAACTGAGAAAAAAATGAGAGAAAATGTTATAAATTTTTTATATAAGAGAATGCTTTAGATGAATGCACATATTAACTATAGAATGAATACAGAGAGACAAGTAATAATATGAAATCATTTTTAATAAAATAGTCGTACATGATAAAGAAAAAATGATAAAACATAATAAATAAGAAATTACATCCAAAAAAATAAAACTAAAATAAGGATATATTGTAAAGCCAAACTTCAAGATAGATAATGAATAACAACTTAACAACACATAAAATACACACAGATAGGAAAAACTGATAATAAATAACAACTTAACAACACATAATATACACACAGATACATTTGAATTTTTTTATTTGGATGTCTTATAATTCTTCCTTTCCATTAAGCAAATATGATGTTTACACTACTTGATTTATCCATAAAAATAATAATAGTCACACACACTTAAACACAATTCAAAGATTTAATAATTACACAAAAAAAAATGTTTTATTTTTATATATTGTTATAGATGAATGCACATACATTAAGAAATAATTAATAATTGTATGATTTGACAAATAATTTTATGTGATCTGTAAGTACTACTACCTCAATATAAAGTGTTGTTACCTCTGTTCAAAAAGATAAAAATGTATTGAAATATTTTGGGTCCCTTTATAAAAGTCATCTTCTAATCTATGTTCTTTTTCGTTAGTGTCATGTGTATCCTACACCTCACTACGTACGTGCCATGATGATGCTATTTTTATTTCATTGTACTGATGTGTGCCTGCACAATGTCTTTTTCTAAGGGTCTTTTTGGAAGTTTAAAAGGCGAGGGTTTTAGAAAGAAAATTAAAGGAGAAGAAAAATGAAAGAAATTATGGACTGTGAATGCATGGTTTCCTACCGTATGTTGATTTTGATGGGTGTGAGATCAATTTATTCTAAAAGTAAGTTTTTATAATTTATTCTACAATCATGACATTTAAATTAAATTAAATCGAATGGTTATAAATAAAAATATTAATTTAACTATTAAATTATATTTTAAACACTATGAGTAAATAAATGAAGAGATCATATTGTGTAGGAGAGAATTATATTATAAGAGTCAATTATATTTTAAGTAATGAATAGAATATAGTTAAAAGCTGTACGATATATTAGTCTATGAGAGATCATATTGCAAAAATAAATGAATATGTGATAATAAGTTTTTAGAAACTAATGTAAAACGCAAGAATGGAAAAATAACTTATCCACACTTGTTGACTTCTGAATCTTTTTTAATTGAAATTTTTTAATGCTTTCTTGAATTCTCTTTTAGATGACCATAAGAGATTATATATATATATATATATATATATATATATATATATATATATATATATATATATATATATATATATATATATATATATATATATATATATATATATATATATATATATATATATATATATATATATATATATATATATATATATATATATATATATATATATATATATATATATATATATATATATATATATATATATATATATATATATATATATATATATATATATATAGGGGCGGAGCCAGCGCCCGGCCAGGTAGGGCTGGTGCCCAGGCTCGACCGTCTCGAAAATATTCTTTCTTTTGATTTTTGCACCTTCACAATGGACCCTGAAACTCGACAAAAAGTTGAAGAAATGGTGTTGGATATACTCAGAAAAGCCATCATTGAAGAAGCCACTGAGTTCACTGTCCGACTTGGCGCTTCCGAACGACTCGGTATCGACCTTTCTGACTCACACAGCAGAGCAAACTATTTGTCAGAACCATTATCGACTCTTACCTCGTCTCTATCGCCACCGATGGCGACAAACCGAATGAACCGCCGCAACCGCCGCAAGTTTCCGCCGAGGCAGTGAAAACACTGAAAGCGTCATTTGTGAGGTGAATCGATAACTCTTCCCCTTTGATTATTAACCTAATTCAATGCAGTTATTATTAGAATTGTTGTAATGAATTTTGATTTTCTTCATTGAAATGTTTAGGGTTTAAGTTTCTTATTTGATTTGTAGCTATCACCCAAAAGGAACCAAAAGGAAGGTGACTGTCCAAGATTTCAATGGGATACCATTGGTATCAATTAGGGAGTTTTATCTAAAAGATGGAAAACAGACAGCAAAAAAATACAGCTTTTAGTCTTGCTCACAAGGTGTTCGATAGAATGCCTTAACCAATTTTTCGTCTATTTTCGCTTCAAATCTTTCGCTTCATGATGTTGAATTATTGTTTTTGTTGATGATTGTTGTTGTTACAGGTTGTGGTTTATGAAGCGGTATCAAATTGTTGTTGTTTCCACTGTTTTGTAAGTTGCACACTAAGTGTTTGGTAAGTTGCACATCGTTAATTTGCTATAGATATTCAACTCAGTGAATATTTGTTTAAACGACTTCAAGAGTTAGTTAAAATACTTGATGCAAATCTACCGCGATGTGAGTCTTTTTCTGATGAGAATGAAATTGAAGCAGCATCAAAAGATGAAAATGTTGTTGGTCTAGTGACACCATCGGTAACAAAACTATCAACAAATTCAGAAGTAATTTCTCTGCCATGAAAATGTTTAATGAAATAATTGTTTTTAAGCTGAGAACAAAAAGCATATCCTCTCATTTTGCTTTTATGCATTCTTTCTTACACTTTCAATTAATGCAGGTATTGAATTATGCTTTAAACTTAAGACATCCTTTTTATTTTAAGCAGGGTATCGAGATGGGGGTTGAACAAGGAGCTACATTAACTAATTCCAAGGCTATAATATCACCTGGTGCAACAGTTACTTCTGAGCATAATAGTTCATCACAGGTGAGTTTGTTGTATACGGTAGGCACCAATATTTAAAATTCCTCAATCCTCAGAGGTTGGTCTAGTGGTGAAGGCTTGAGTCCTGATAGTTTGTTATTCTCAACGTCTCAAGTTTAAATCTCATTAGATCCAAACAATTCCTATCTTGAGATAAATCCATATAGAATTATGCTTTACCTTTCAAATGTAGTCAAGAGTTCAAAATGACTGATGCTTCTGTTCTTATTACAGGCACCACTGAATGAACAAAAAGTGGATCAACAAAGTTCACTTGAAAAAACTGATGCTACTGTCACACCTTCACAAGTAAATAAAGTAGTACATATTTTTTCAAGTGCTTCTTATGATTATACTGTAAATAAAGTAGTTGATATTCACATACAATTTTATAGTATATAACCATGTTTTTAACATTGTTCTTCTTCTTATAAGTATTGTTAAGCTTGGTTTTAAGAAATTGAATTTCTTAGAATCAAACTTAACTTTGATATTCTTTTGAATTTCTAAGAATTATAGATATAAAAATAACCAGGGGTGGAGCCAGCTTCCTGTGCTAATCATGAAATTTGCACTGGGAAATGGGTTTTTATTGCATTGATGGATTTCTTATGCTCAAAGCACATGAACAATTGTTATTTTTATACATATTACCCACCATTCTGGGTCTTATTCAGATAAGACAAATAAATAAGATATTTTATTGTTGTGCATTCAGTTCCTTCAGAGCAAAGTAGGTACACATTAAAAGGTTTTATGGATTCGACTCATTCTATTTATTAGCTTTTGTCTCACATAAACTTCATAGCTGCAAAACTTGGCCAATTAATAATGGTCTTGCTGCTTGGTTTTGAAGCATCAATTGCTTTCTTACCGTAATTTCATTATGCTGCCGCGTACCTTAGCTGTGTATTTCCTTTTAAAATAATGATGTTTTTTTGTATATTACGTCTATATTTTGATGTAGCAGTTACCTCAAATTTAGTCATTTTTGTTATTAGTTGGCAAGAAGGAATTATTACAGAAGGAATAAGAAAGATAAAACATATATTGTTCAATTCCCAGGTATTGAAGTTATCTAACTAGCCATTAATTTTAAGTTGTGCTTATCGATTTGTATAACTGGCTTCTTGGAGATACACAATCTATTTGGTTTTCTGCAGCAAGCGGAGAAACATCAGTTGTTGAAGCTTGGTATCTCCGTGCATCCCTCACTTGGAATTGTGAAATGGGTTGAGTCTCCTAATGTGGGAGCAAATGACAGTCCCTCCAATGAGGTACTTTGCTTGCAAACTTTGATGTTTTAACTTGATGCATTGCCTTCTGTGCTGAGCTGTGCATTTTGAATGCAGGGTGATGCACCGCCCGAAAAACGGACTAAATTAGGTAGTCCTGCACAAGAACTAGTAAGATCCAGCCAACATCAAGAGTAAGAATATGTTGGACGGTAACTAAAATTGATTGTTCTAAAGTTTTGCATCACAGAGGGCGCATAAATCACTAGCTTGGTTTTTCAGTTTCATTGTTGGCTCTCGGATGGTTCTTGACTATATTAGGTATGTTGGTACTCACTGATAGTTTGTTGAAAAGTTGATAGTTTGTTGAAAAGTGAGAGTAGGGATGACATGTCCTGCATTGTAGTTTGTTTCAAAGGATGATAGTTAAAATAAATAGGAGTACATGTTATTATATACAATGTGGATTTGCGGTCTTTGAGTTTTTGCCCAGGCTTTAGAATTTTTCTGGCTCCGCCACTGTATATATATATATATATATATATTAGAAACCTATTTAATCACAGTTGCTCTAAACAACCGTGGTGATAAAGTAATAGTTACAAGTTTCGAATTTTGGAAAATACACTTTTTCCATTATTTCTATTACAAAAAACGCGTGTCACTTAAGTTCATAAATAAATAAATAATTGAAATTTTTTTAACCACGATTTTGTATATAACCGTTGTAATAATACATACATTTTACTGCGGTTGTAAATATCAATCATGATTAAAGTATTTCCTGATAAATTTAAAACAGAATAGATTCATTATTCCCTCCATAACATACCCTAAGCTAACTAGCGAACCTGCGAACCAGAGACGATAGCAATAGCGATTGTAAAATCTTCATCTTCACAATCTTCGTTCATTTGAATCTTCATTCTTGATAATCTTCATTATCTTCATTCTTGATAATCTTCATTATCTTCATTCTTGATCTCTTCGAAGTACGGTATGTTTCGTGCAAACTTCACTCTCTTCCTTATCTTCCTAATTCTTGATAATTTTCACAATCTTCACTCTCTTCTTTGATTTCGAAACTCATATGATTTTTCCATATGCTTAAGATTAAGAGTTGTATTATTGTATTGAATGTGTTTTATGTTTTGTTGTTGGATTTTGTGGTCTGTTTCTTAAAAAGTTTATATGTTTTATCCATATGCTTAAGATTTAGAGTTGTATTATTGTATTAAACACGCTTTAGGTTTAGATTTGTTGTCCCATTCACAATATTGTTTTGGTATAAATATCATAATTTATTATGGATCGTAGTTGGGTGAAAGTGATAGATTAAATCTGGTATATGAGAAAGGAGTTCTTGAATTCCTTGAATATGCTGATCAAAATCTTCCCGACAATAACAATATCTTTTATTGTCCTTGTGTTAATTGCGGGAATATAAATAAAGGTACGAAGGATGAGATATTCCATTACCTATGTTGTGATGGTATATGTCAAAATTATACAATATGGACGTGGCATGATGAGGTGGAAAAAAATCGAAACCATGTGTTACAAAGTTACAAAGTTGATGAAGATAAATACATGGATGACTGTTTAGAAGATATCCTCTTTGATATTGGAGAGTATTATTTTAAGAAAGCACATATTTATGATACTTTATGTAGTGATAAGGAAATCCCTTTATATAAGGGGTGCACAAGTTTTACACGATTGTCTGCGGTTTTAAAATTGTTTAATCTAAAATCAAAAAATGGATGGTCGGATAAAAGATTCACGAAATTGCTCAATTTTCTAAAACAAATGCTTCCAGAAGATAATAATTTGTCTGATCGTTGTTATGAAGTCAAGAAGATATTGTGTCTATTGGGTTTGAAGTATATCAAAATACATGCATGCCTGAATGACTGCATATTATACCGGAAAAAGTTTGAAAATTTGGATCAATGTCCGGAATATGGGGTGTCGCGTTACAAGCTGAAGGGCAACAAAGGTGACGGCAATGAAAAATACAATGTTAGTAGGAAGAGACCTTCTGCTAAAGTGTAATGGTACTTTCCAATAATTTCAAAATTCAAGAGACTTTTTGCTAATGCAGATGATGTAAAGAATATTAGATGATATGTAGATGAAAGAAAATGTGATGGAAACATACGCCATGTAGATGGTTCTTTGCAATGGAAGAAAATTGATTTGTTGTTTCCAGATTTTGGAACTGAGCCAAGAAACCTTAGGCTTGGTCTTGCCATCGATGAAATGAACCCCTTTGGTAATATGTGCACTAACCATTCTTCGTGGCCTGTTCTTCTCACGATTTACAACCTATCTCCTTGGTTGTGCATGAAGCGTAAATATATGTTGTTAAGTATGACAATTTCTGTACCACGACAACCTAGAAACAAGATAGATGTTTATCCAAGTCCATTAATTGAATATCTAAGACTTTTGTGGGAAGAAGGCGTTGAAGTTGATGATGCATATTCTGGTGAAAAGTTTAAAATGTGCACAATGTTATTTTGCATAATCAACAAATTTCATGCATATGGTAATTTTACTTCATATAGTATCAAAGGACATAAGCATGTCCTATTTGTGAATTTGATACATGTTATCGCCACCTTGAGTTTGGAAAAAATATTGTTTACCTTGGGCATCGCAAATTTCTAAAACCCGATCATTCTTATTGTAGATTGCAAAAGGATTTTAATGGAGAGCAGGAGTTTGATATTGCTCCTAAACCTTTAACCGGGGATGAAGTTTATGAACTACAGAAACACATTAATATTGTCCTTGGAAAGTGAGGAACATAAAAAGGGCAAGTA